GAGTGTAGAGGAACTTAATTTAAGTGCGCCTCAGGATTCAAGGGGGCACCGATGTATTGAGATTAAGTTGAGAACTGGAACACAACGACGAAAAGAGGAACAGGATAGTTATGGTGAAATTGAGTCAAGGTTCAGGGGAACGTGAAGGAAATTACGTAAGGAATAAATTCTAAATTTTAAGAAGGTTTTCAGAGGAACCATGAGGCTTCAGAAGAATTTAAAAGTAACTGGAGAAGAGATCGAGGGGAAGCTTGAAAATTTCTTGAGAAGTGCATGGAAAACCTGAAGTTCCCAATAAAAATATGTAGTAGAAAAACATACGGAATAAGCTAACAAATTACATTAAGTACTACGAAGTCAAATCTAACTTTTTCGTCCATCGATAGTTGAGTTATGTAACGATTTATTTTCTCAATCACAAAGCATTGTTATTGTTCACGGTATATTAACTTGTGAAAAGATCCTCGTAACTTTTGAATAGGTTGCAATTTTACCGCGCAGTGTGTGTCTATGTCCACTTCCTTTCTGTCAAGAACCGTATCCAGTTTCATTTCGTTTTAATAAAACAGGCGAAAGCGTTAGTTAGAACGCATGGAATTTAATTGTCACCATCAATGTATAGTAATCTCTGATGGATTCTTAATTGGGGATTCCGCAGGAATTAGGACGGATTCACCTGCATAACTCCAATAGTGAGGATTTTAATTGCGTTTTTTCTTTCTTTACCGTCATATGCATTTTCCGTAATTGAAGTGAGGCTTTTTTTAGGTTCGCCTGATATTTGTGTACTACAATTTTTCCATCGGCAATTGCTGCTTCATTGACAATTAGTCCTCTTATTTAAGAGGTATGTACATTTTATGACATCAACGAAGGAGCCTTTCATTTCTTTTAGGGTTTTCATTTTAGTTTAAGTTCAGGCTCGGCTTCCTGTTCTGGTTTAAATTAGGTTTCAAGTGCCAGTGTAAATTCCGGATACGTTACATTACATACGAAACTGGTCCGACGTACAAGTTTGTAATTTTGGGTTAAATTCGCCGGTACCTACGAGTGCCGACGCCATTAACATATCTTTCACCTGCCCATCCTCAACAAAGACAACTTTCGTATAACTCTCGCCAGGAAAGATTGCCGGTCACAGCACACCTTGTGTCGATCTACAATCTATGTTTTTCTTAAGATGCGAGAGACTTCCGGAATAGGATCGTGCCAATGTTGAACGAAAAGTCTTTTTGTTCAACACTGACACGATACTATCCCGGAAGTCGCTCACATCTTTAGAAAAACGTAGATTGTAGACCGGGATCAAGCGTTCTGTGACCGGCAATCTTTCTTGGCGAGAAGTTTAACTCTTTAGCGTATTAATTCACTATTTTGCCCCTTCTGGGTTATACGCTATTACATTCAAGTAATTGGTTAACGTTAGTACCTGCTTATGCTTAGTATCTTTTCCATTTCGGTTAAGTGATGATCGAATTTGAAACGCGAATATTATCGACCGCCAATTCCTTTTGAAGTGGTTGCAAAAGTATCGTACTTGGTATAGAATCATATTACGAGTAGAGCGAGGCCCTTCAGGTACTATTCTACTGATTATTATATAGGTACCGAGCCCTGCGACTTGGGAGGTTTTTTTTTATTTATTTCGGATTTTGTATGCAAGATGTGAGCTCACTTGTTGACGTCGACATCTAGCTGTATTCCAAGGTAAGCCTGCCTTATATGTTTTACTTGTACTTGGCCCTATACGTGAGAATTTTTGTCCGGAATAATTTGTGTAAAGCTGTTATATGATTCAGTAATTAGTTTGTTAGTCGATCATTCTTGATTGGGGGTTTGTTAAACTGGGAAATTTCAATTGTTAAGTTAATAAGATTGGTGACTAAGGTAAGTTATAATGAAGGGTGAAGGGTATTATTGTGAACTACCTATTATAATAAATTTTTTTTTTCTTCTTTTTTCTTTTTTTTTTCTTTTTTCTTCTTTTTCTTTTTTCTTTTTTCTTTTTTCTTTTTTCTTCCTTTCTTTTTTTCTTTCTTTTTTTTTCCTTTTTCTTTCTTTTTTTTCTCTTAGGTAGTTCACAATAATACCCTTCACCCTTCATTAGAGACCTATTAACGAAATGGAGTCATTCATCAAGCGTAAGTTATAATTTTGAATATATTTGGGGGGGTATTTTGTGTGTTGTGGAGACAATTATTATTTTGATATTGATCTTTAGGAATAAACCAAGATTTCTGGTGGTGCCTAATTAATTTTTACTGTTATTACTACCCTCGTATCTTCTCAATTTCATACGGGAAAGTTAAGTTAGAAATTGAGTGGCGCTCAACCATTGATAAGTGCAACGAAGAAGAAAGATCAAATGCCCAGAACGAACTACCGTTGTGACAGATCTCAAGCTTGTAGTTTCTTGTTTAACCCTGAGCTAGTTGGCCGTTTATGCGGCGGGTTTGAGGAAACGCAGCGCCAACTCTCCCATTATGGTATACAACTCAGATCAAATTTACAAATATAAATACCATACCAAAATGAGACATGAGATACATGTGTTATTTGTTCTTTAAATTAGGTTTAAAAATAATATACAATCTTTACATAATATGTAATATGTATCCGTCGTGACTCGAGCATGTAGTAAACCCAAGATAATAATAAAACGCTTGTTCAATTTAAGGATGTAGTAATAATGCCAGTTTCCATTTTGCTCTTAATACCTAGATCCCCAGCGTAATGATTCGCCTTACCTAAGGCATGCATACAAATTCCCTTTGTATATACATACATAATTAATGCTCGACTATACATGACATATATGTAGCATTAAGCTAATATAATCGAAATCACGACATTCCACAAATAATGTTCTTTAACATTATTAGCATCATCAACAGCGATTTGGAAGAAGTGCGAGATAGCAAAAAAAGCAATTCGAAAGCGACAATTAAATCTCCTGTGGTGGCTCTGGAAAGTCAGCGGAAAGCAATTCCTCTGACATACCACGAGAATTCCAAAGATAGCGTGACATGGTCCGGAATTTCATTCGTAAATATTGTAAATGCCCCAAATAATTTAAACAATCTACGTCGAAAGCTGATTTAATAAAAGCTTCTCGCGCTTCGTCGCTTTCTAATTAAGATATTAGTAGTTAGTGTCCTGCTAATATCCGATTACGCCCCCCGTTCACGTATTCATAAACTCCCACCACTCATTTCCTTTCCAAAATATGATTTGTAACTGGGGTGCAAGTATTACGATATATTATATTTCAACGGGAACGTTTATTACATGGCTTGATTGCTGTTGGGGAGATAAAATGATATTTTGAGACAGCGGACGAATTTTCCTAGTGGAAATTAGTAATAATTGACTTCAAAATTGAAGTGCGCAAATCTGACCACGTTTTTCGTACCGCGTTAATCTTTCGATGTTACCCTCTATTTAGTAATCCCAAGAATCTATTCAGTCGAATTATCTGCTTATTCCCTACCAAATTGTGGATAAGGGACAATAAGAGGATATATTATCGTCGTATATTAAGGATAAGATAAATGATGTCCGAATTCTCTCGGCGTCCATATTGAGTGAAAAAAGGCTTCGGCGCGCGCCTTTGTTGCGGGTTTACTTTGTAAACAATGAGTTATTACTGTAGGTTAATTGTATATGTCTGTAAAGTATGATAAACTGTAATGATAATGTCCGGAGGATTAAAGTGGGATTGCTCTACTTTGTGTTTACACAGTCTCCTGGTAACATTAAACGTTCAATAACATTTTTTTTTCTTTTACTAAACCCTGTTGTACTATATAAAAACGCCACCACTGAAAACACAAGATAAATGCCCCTGCATCCGTTAACAACTCTAAAACTCATTACGATAAGTGAGCTGTTATCTGAAACAGAGTTTCTATTATCCGAACGCGCAACTTCAGTTTATGTCTGATTATCCAATGATAGTTGGGCGGAAAATGTTTGTGATCCCCGCAAGATTGGCAGTCGTTGCAGGGGAGAAAAATACCCTTCAATATGAAAACAAAGAGATAAAGGAAAGAAATCTCATTATAAGAAGGATTGCAGCAAAATGGTTAGTTATTTCTTCGCTGAAAACTTGCAGTCAAATAAATATAAATTATTTTGAAATGAGAAAATTCTTTTCGAAATACTTTCATCCTAAGATATCAAATGAAATGTTGTTTCCTTGGGTTTCGTGTGACGACGACGAATCAAATTTTGTGGCTTTTTTTCTTTTATTATAGCGCGATTGCCACAACATGCGATTTCTGTTTATAGAGTGTACGTTCCGTTGAATGTACTCTTGCTTTGTGTAACAGATTGAATGCGTTCTTAGTAGGTACGTTTTGCATAGTTGGTACCCTTTAGTTTGCGGAAATGCCTTTGTAGTGCAATTGACAGGTCGATCTATGCAAAAAATTTTAATTTGAATTGAAAAATCCAGAGTCATTACGCTACCATTGTTTAAATTAATTATCTGAGCGTCTTAACCCGAATGGGGATTTGCTAGGCTTAATCTAGGTATTATCATACTGCCGTTGTTTACAATATTTTTATTTATAGGTTAGTTTATATCACATGTTCCCGGCAAAATCGAAGTTGATTAATATATCATCTATTCCCTATTGTCTTTATAAGGGAACCCAGTTTTTGGGGTAAACAATGTTAATCGTTTCAGCATATGTTTGATTTTCCAATTTTAGTTCCTTTCCCGAATATCTTATCTGCACGGAAACAGTATCGTTAACACTTGAATATTCGACAAACTAGTAGCTTTATCTAGTAAGATACCGTCAAATCGTATAGGTGGGTTGGATCCCCATCCATCATCCGGGACTGCAATATTACCTACTTCCAGTCGCCGAAGTACGAAACAGTATCGTGTATAAATTGCCTTGGTTGTTAATGATCATATTGCTATTCTACACAAACAAAAAATGTTCTACCTTTTGTTTTGTCTTTGTAAATGACAATATATTTTGTTTCAGCAGGAGACTGCGCATACACGCACACCGTATATTAAGTGGTAAGTAGCCGATATTTTTAATTTGCATAGTTTTCATAATTTACATTTAACTAACTAAACTAAACATCTCTTGGGTTACGTTGCGCTAATAAGCCCCCCAGGTATGATCATGAAATTGATAGAAATGGATAGAGGACACCTTAATTACATGTTATCAGTTAAAAAATTTGCGGAAGAAGCCTTACATTTTCCACAATCTTCATTCAAACTTCACTTCATTTCGTCGTAAGTGAGGTTATATTACTCCAAATTTCATGATTGTTTTTCAGTTGGTACTGATGTTCTTAACATTCCTGAGTGCCAACTTTAGTTAGTTTCTTAAGAGGTTATGTTATTTTTCCACGATTTAATTAACTTTAAACAATGATATACAACTTTATACATGTTTTTAATTATACCATAATAGCAGTAAGTAGTTCTCTACATCCTACATTGCTAAGCAGCGATTCATAAGCGTTCCAAGTTAAGCGGTGATCGCTAACGTAGCTGCGATCCATGGATCCATGGAAAATGCGAGTCCCTTCCCCTCTCGACCGTATTAGGCGGTGGAGGCTAAGCGGCGATCGATACGAAAAAGGCATTCCAAGTTAAGCGGCGATCCCTAACGTAGCTGCGATCCATGGAAAATGCGAGAGATGTCCTTCCCCTCTCGACCGTATTAGGCGGTGGATGCTAAGCGTCGATTCATATGAAACATGCAGGAAGTGCCCGGGTTTCCCCTCTCGGTGATCGATACCAAGAAATTTTTGCCACGTGCAACCTTCTCTACGACATCCTTCTTCCCTAATGCATTCAAGTTTAGACTGTATAAGCTTCAAAAAGTGGTGTCATTAAAATGTCAGTCACATGGAAGTGTCGCTTATTTGGTGTTTAAGTCGAACAAAACCTAAAATTGAATTGTATATTATACCTGTTGTACTACTTTTATTACATTTTGTTAATATACACTTTAAATCCAGCATATTTCATTTTAGTAGACGAAGAAGTTAACATAACCTCCTACAAAAATTTACTGTAACCTTTGTTTATTAGCGGAAAAAGAGCAATCACATAAAATTTTTCAGTTTCGCCAACTTAAGAATTACAAAATATACGTAAAATAACACCAGATTTCACCAGAAAAGGAGGTGAACTTTTAATTAAGATTGTGGAAAATTTAGGCCCTCTTCCGCAAATTTTTTTAATCTAAACGTGTTATTAAGGTGTCCTTTATCCATTTCTATCAATTTCATGATCATACCTGGGGGGCTTACTAGCGTAACGTACCCACTTTCTTGCACTGTATATTTGTGTATATCAAACTAATTCCCGGGGTTGTTAATTTAGAATTTATATCCATATCTATTAAGATGCTAGCCGCCGTCGTCGTGGTTCGTCTATTCGTTTCGGCTACCACGCGGGTGGACCGGGTTCGATTCCCGACCGATGCAATTTATTTTTTTTAATTTTATATATTATTTAGCATTTCTACATTTCGCCAGACTAATGCTGGTTGTAGACGTAGGATGCCACAGAGGCTCGTAGGGGCTGGTATTTCTCGTACACAAGTAAAACAATTCCAAACGCTTGTCTATAGATTAGAATTTAAACACAAGTATAAATTGTGAACAACTCTTGTGGAGATAAAGCGCATTTTTTAAACCAAAATAGTTTAGTAAATGCTTGCGTTATAAGGTTACTTTCTTGGTAAATGATTCATGGGGAGGAGGCTCTTTACGTGTATTTCCTTTAAAAAATGGGGGGGGGTCATTTGTTACCCCAATACAATACGTTTTTACGTTGATTTAAGGAAACACCACTTCCACTACAAAAATAATCTCCTTCTTTAAGATTTTCAACACATATCAACACGTGCGTTAATTAAATTTCGTCTCATCCGAATTTTTTTACATCACGGTTTAGTGGTGGTATCATGATGTATTATTATTTTGCCGTCGTATTTTGTTAAATTGTTTGAGACCGCACTATTACTTTTTTTTATGAATGACAGAAGGTATAATAACATGTAAGGTGGTTTGTTTTGGACAACCTTGTAGTTCACCAATACGTTAAAATATGTATACGAAAAGGCCATGGTTTTTATTAGCAACTTTCAAAACGTGCCTTCCTCAATCTCGGAAACAAATCAAAGCAATGTAGCAGCAATTCAATTTGATATCAGCGATCAAGGCTTGTAATACACCCTCATCAAGCTCTGTACGAGACGGAATCTGCGTTTCTACGGTTCAACAAAAAAAAAACGTAAACATTTATTTCGTCAACCTTTACGAATTTATTGATACCGTAACTTTTTCGGGGAAAATAGGACGAATTTTATATCTGCGCTGTTTACATCTGCCGGTTACATTTTATATTCCTGATGCCTACTTTCCCTAAACAAGTTGGAATACATTTCCTCTTTCATTACCTGCACATTAGAGTTGGGGCGGTGTAAAGATTAATGACATGGGAGTGCTTTTCGCGCCGAATGCTATGAAGAAGGTAATAATTCTTTATTATAAGTTGAGTGTTATACATCAGTTATGTATATATTTTGTGGGAGGAGTAGGTAAACCTAAAATCGAACAAATAGTTTTCGTTATCTGTGCAAAATTTTACTCATATCAAACAGCAGCTGCTCATTTCAGATGTGAACAGTGAGATCTGGTAAATGATGAATATTGAGCAGATACGACAGCTTTAAGCCGGATTGCATTTTGCACTGTTGGTTAAAAATTATAAATTGCAATTCGATGGTATTTTATCGCGAAATTTAAGCACAAAATTACAGGATGAATGCTTTTGTCTTTAAACTGAAACGATACGGAATTTTAATAATACGAATTCCTGCCGAACAAAGAATTAACAGTGCTCGGAAACAAAATTAATGCATTAAGACAACGATATCAACGGGCGAATAAAGACAATGTGTTGAAAGGGAAAGTTTTTTGAAAGAAAAATTCTTTATTATTAAAATTTGATTAAAACGACAAAATTAAACTTTTGTTGCGCGAACAAAGTTTTTTAGTCACGTAAAATATTGCTAAGGGATTAGAAAAAACGTTAATTATACATCTTACGATTAATTACGCAATTTTTGAAGACTTATTAATTATTAAAAGTTTAATGTTGGGGAAATGTATTTTATAAGTAAGTACCTACTTATTTCCTGACTTATTTTAATTTAATTATCAAAAATGAAATGTTTTTCTACCGACAGATCTAGACTAAGTGGTGGCTGGCCCTCTTCTATGCAATAGGTATGATACTAGCAATAGCAACTAAATGCCACAGTAGTTATTGTACCAATACTAAACCTAGGAATCAAACAAAAGTTTCATATGCGCATTCTCCTAAAGTCACCGTGAAAATTACGTATTTCGTTCACTTGTGGATAAATACAGTCAAAAACAAATTTCACACATAGGTTTTGTTTCCTCATAAGGTTTCGTCAATTAGGAAACCAAACACACACGTGCGTTTGACTTTCAACTTATTAGTATGAAGCCGTTTTAAACGGTCATATTTTTAGGTGTAATTTTACTAGTATATCTACATCGCAAGAATTAGGTACAGCAACTTCAAATGGACTTAATAGAAAAGCACTGGCGGGTTCCAATTGTTTTGTGAGTGAGCCGCAGTACAGACTTCGAGCCGCACTTTGGCCACCGTTGTAATATGACGTCAACTCATTTTGAAATATGCGCAATTAATAAAAGTTACCGCGAATACCGGAATTTTAATTAAATTCACGAAATTATTTAACCGGTTAAACCGCGAAATAAGTTATTTGATCAAACCAAAGTCCATATTCCACGAAATGATTCAAAATTCCCAGAAATAATCAAAAAATACCTCCAAAACGCCCTCGCCCAGTAGACATGTTCAACATAATGCTCTGATAAAACCTCAGACAAAGCAGTCGACAGCGGGATTCGAACCCACAACCCCCCGAATAGCAACCGGTAACGCAACTACTCCGCCACCGGCTTCGGTTTATTGATAAAGTAGCTGCTCTTATTCATGCGCTATTTAATAATGAAGGATTCGGTAGACTTTATTGAGAAAGTAATTAACTCTTTTCCAATAAAATAGTATTACTTCTTCATTTCACAAATGTACCTAATGTGGTTGATTTTACACAACACGACATCGATGTATTGTTGTCGAAAATCTACAATATACCTACTGTAATTTGGAAATTACTGGACAATTAAAGTTAGTTTGCTACTAGGGACGGCTTGCTCCCACGATTTTACTACATTTTGTAGCGAACATCAAGATAATACAAACATTATACATACTAGCGCCAAATACCCGACGGGCACACAAATATATACCTTTCCGTTTGCACTTCTACCGAATAGTTCGAAATTTTTCGTTATAAGACGTTTAGCATCCCATAAACGCGTGTCGCTTTAATAATACGCCTTGGGGTAGCATATCTCTCGAATGGGAAATAGAACGTGATGTGAAACTTTACGTTTTTACTCTATGCTATGCAGTGAGTGATGTTCTCTGTTTTTTGTATGTAAACAGATTCCCGTCAACGTCACAATTAAACGGAACACGAAATCGCATAAAATCCATTACATGAAAGGCTATTCAAAGAATTACAAGTGAAATCCTTCGATTGACAATTATAGGAGAAAAGTTTACGTGACGCATAAGGAAACTCCTCTTTACAACAGTACAACCATGCCGTTCAATGTTCTTTACATATATACGATTTCGGCTAAACTTTAATACAAAACTCGTCAGTAAAATGACATTACTTGACTCGGAAATTAAAGTACTCGGCCCCTCGCACTCCGTTCTGCTGATATTTGCACTGAAAGTGTTGACATCACCAGCAGATGCGTCTCGTCCAGAGGTTCCACTTGCCTTATATGAGTACGCTCTTCCGACACTTCGTTTTCAAGATACTCGACCTTTAATTAGAATAATTCTTAAAATATTAATTATTTTTATTTTATAGCAGATTTTTATTTGATATTTTAATAGGTTTGAATGAGTAGACT